TAATTAATTAAGGTGTATAATTAAAAGAGATTTAATAAATCCATAAAGTTTTGGTTTACAATTTAATTGAATTATTAGTATAATTGTTAAATTTGACCACCTAGTATTTTAAAAGTGTAAAATACACCCTATACTATATATAACATTAAAAGTCTAACCTTATACATATGTATGAATAAAATTCATTCTTACCGTTAGTAGGCCTCATTCACGAAGCTGGTCTATAAGGAGTGTTTAAGGAAATTGCCTATAAAATGACGATTGAATGGGTATCCACTCTTACCCACCGCACTCTTGACAAGTGGAGGGTCGTTAGACGAACGGGTAGGATAGGAAAAAACCTTCCATTATAAGTATAATGAAGTACAAAAGTAACTTAATGTTTTACAAATTCCCAATCTTAGTTACTTAGGCGAAAGTGAATTGATGCAATTCCATGAAATTACACTTTGTGCCCTTGTGAAGACATTAGTGGAGCGTGTGTGGTTTATCGGCACACTAAATGGTTCTAAGCAAAGGTAGCAAAGGGTGACTCAATGTTTGTCATAGTTCGGTGGAGCGTGTGTGGTTTATTGGCACATCGAATAGGTGATCGTAACATGTGAGGGCACCATGTAAGTTTGCATGGTTATTCACATCCGATTTGTGATCCTCGGCATCCCAGTCACAAACTAGAGGGGCATATCAAGATTTAAGCATGCCAATGAAATGTTCAATGAATCTCAAAGGATCTAGGAGTTTTCATAGATTTAAAACTTAAATTTATTTTTTGTTTTTCATGGTGGAAATTAGTGAATCATCATTCACTTACCTTCAAATATTCTGCAACTAGATTACGGCATCCCTTTTCTAGGTTATAGCGTATTGTGTTGGGTCCTAGCCTTAGTATCTCATTTGGGTGATTTACTAAGGACTCAATCAATCAACTAACTTGAATTTATGTTTTCTCCCGTTTTGTAGATGTCAAAGTTCGACAACTATGGTCTTCCCAAATCCCGTAGAACAAGCATTCCACATGAAGATGATATTCCACGATTCGATCAAGGAACAAGAAATCATGATTCACTTCCTCCTCCTCCTCACGTTGCTCTCCCTAACCCACAAGATCGAAGAATTGAAAGGTTCAATGTCACTAAAGCCCTATTGGAAATGAAACATGAAGATGGTAAACCCGTGTGTGCCCACATTCTAGGAATGAAATCACACATTGATAAGTTGAGAATGTTGGGTGTGTCATTCCCGAATAAGTTGGCTGTGAACTGGGTTCTGCAGTCACTTCCCGAATCATATAATGAGTTCAAAAGAAAGTATTATATGATGGATCATGACGAAAGCCTCATTGACCTAACTTACATGCTCATTGCTACTGAATCTGAAATGATTTGGCAAAGCAATGGAGCGTATTTGTTGGGAGAGTCAACCAACCATGCTTCTGAGGACGTTCTAGGAGAACCGACCTGTGTTTGTTGCCAAGAGAAATGGCGTTGGATACAAGTCTGCCCTAAGAGCCTGAAGAGTCCAGAAGATGGGAGAGTCAAAGAGTATGGTTGTACTTCAGGTAAAATCCACTATCTAACTCGATTAAGTTCCTATTCATTGATTCTTAATACATAATTTGATAAGATTGCATTTGAATGTTTTGCAGGATCAATGAAAAGAGAGGAAACTTGATGAAATAGCAAGATGAATCTAATTACGAAGACATGGATTCGAAGATTAGATTTTGAGCTTAGATAGAGTTGTTAGGAATACTTATTACATAGTTTTTCAGTTGATTTTGCATCGTAAGGATAAATGTTTTCCGCTGCTTTTATAAATAAAATACATTTTGTTTGACGTGTTTATTTATTTATTTCCTTGCAATGAAATCGTTATGAAAAATTAATGTTCGTATATTTACAACAAATGATGTGATTCTTAATTATGGTGTTTGTGGAAATGTTGAGAATTTACCAAACAGGGAAAGTTTCTCATCGCCCAAGTTTCTATTGGATAGAGATATGGAATCGTACAACAAGAATTGTATGATGAATGAATAAACTTTCACATTTGGAAATTAAACTAATTCGTTGACAAAGTGTCAAGTGAAGGACTAGGAGATCGAGTAAACAAGGTTATGTGTTGATCAAGTCCACCACAAGAGTAACAAAGATATTCGTCATGATTTACTAAAAGTTTAGCAAATATGATTACACTTATAAGATTAAGTATAATTCTGAATTGATTGTAAAAAATTTTAAATCAATAAGCAGAACGAATAAGAAGAATCGAATAGGTAGAAAGATAAATATTTCTCCATTCTAAGAAGAAGGGAGAGTACCTTTTACGCCTTATGATAGGTCTTAATGATTAAGAACCATATCTCAATTGATCCTCTAAGTGATTCTTAGTACAATTGTATGTCTAAGAAGAGGTATCAAGAATTGAAGAAATGGTTAAATCAATAAGTCAATCATACTTCACTCCAAAACAAGTCTTAGAGTTAAGATTGTGACATTGAGAAATTAGAAGGTTTATAACATTCATCAAATGAGGAAAGTTGTGATGTCTTGGATAAGACAAAGACCAACTAGGACCTATTTATGAAGTGTTTTGAAAAAAACTACACTAACTCTTGAATATTTGTCAAGAAATGTTTATTGGCAAGAGAATCTTATATGTCAAAGAGTCAGTGGGAGTCTTAATGGTCTTGAAAGGTTTCAAGAACAAATCAAAATAGACCTTATTGATCATCACTAGTACATGACTTAAGGTTTATAACCTATCGTGTTGACATTATCTTGTTTATGTGTCGTTCCAATAGAGTTAATTATGCATGTGAGCCCTGCGAGTTCTCATTATGCATAAAAGGCAAGGACCTTAATCAATGAAAAGTACATTGACATGAAAGGGTGAGCTGCTTAACTACTTGGAAGACATAGTGGGCAACCGTGTTACTATAAGGCAAGAAATCAAGATTGAGAATGTTCAGTCCATATGAGTTTGGATTTATCGCAAACTTTGGTTTTGAAAAATTCACATGGATAGGAACACATACACCATTAAAATCTAAGTGTCATAAGATTCCCTTCTTCATGAAAATGACTGTGAGGAAATGCTTTCACTAAGAGAGATTTTAAGAAGATAGCAATTGCAAAATTGTATTCTCGAATTCAATTATGGTTAAGGTATCCCTTTCCATGATTCGAATTGTGAGATTTGGCAATTAGTATTAATTGTTTAGATACATATGAGCTATCTTAGACAAAGGTGTATGAGATTAAGAAGCCTTGCTAAAAGATTATCAAAGCATTAAGTATTAGAAACATGAACTTAAGAAATTCAATAGACATTGTTTTTCTAAAAGTTAAGCTGTTTTCTGAATACATGTCAAAGCTAGTGGGAGCATAAGTGTTATGTTTATAATAATCATCATGATAGTGGGAGCATAAATGTTATGATTGTATGATTATTAAGTCAAGTATTGCAAGTTAGCAATATTAATTATTGAAAAACAAGAGTTACACCTTGCAAAGTCGTAAGGGTTGTAAAGTTGTTTTGCTATAATTAAGGGAGAGAATATTATGCTTCATTTCAAATCTAAAGGCTTAGGTTGTGGAATGTTGATAAATTTAGTCAAGGATACATAGTGTGTTCTTAAATTTCGATTATAATTATGGGATTCCTCTTCGTAATTCGAATTGTGAAAACATAGTACATAGAATCTTATGGTAGAAGATTGATAAAGTATCAAATCTTATGGCAGAAGATTGATAAACTATCAAAGGACAATCCAAAGTTCGTCGAGGATTGGTCGCTTGTGAGTATAGTATTGGATGGAGTATATCGACATTATTATGAATAGATAAGATTCTATTAAGAATAAGTTGTCATATGGTAAATATGGAAAGGTTTCCATATTCGGAGTTAGATATTAAGAATCTATGTCTAGATTAGAAACTTTATGCAAAAGGATGTTCAAAGAAATGTACTTTGAGTGAGAGACATCACATCTATGGAATTGTCTTGTAACAATTTCCGATAGAAAGCTTTGTAATTCATTGGCGATAGTCATTGTGACCTTAATGCAGTGACATTCATTACTAGAAAAACAGCCTTTTATGACGCTCATTGCGCGTCGTAAAAGGCTCAGACGACGCGCAAATGCGTCTCAAGGAAGACCCTGTCATAAAGAGAGACGACACACATTTACGATGCTCATTTACGATGCGCGTTTACGACACACAATGCGTATCAAGAAAGGACTTGTCATAAAGGAAAACGACACGCATTCACGTGTCGTAACCTTACGACGCGCGTGTTAATGATACGTAATGCGTATCAAGAAAGCCCCTGTCAAGAAAGGCTATGTCATAAATGAAGATGACACACATTTTTGCGTATCATTAATTTAAATGTTTAAAATAAATATTATTTATAGATTTACTAATTTTTAAATTAAATTTGTATTTAATATCTCATAATAGAAAATAAAATACCATATACAAAAAAAATACAATCCATTGCATAATATAAAATAAAATTTCATACACAAAAAATAAAATAAATTGCACAAAATGTCATACAAATAATCATTCAAATGTTAAACAAAAATAATACATTGCAATTCCTATAAAGCTAAAAAATAATCATCCAAATCTATTTCTTACTGGAATATGTGTGTAATTGTCTCCTTCATCAGCCTCCATGTATATTGTGATCGGATCTACCTTCCTACTATGTATGATCTTATTGTGTCTGCTGCAAAAACCATGGGATTGCAGTCATAGCCTACACCAATTACAAGTTTCTCAGAGATAAAAATAACCTGAAATAAAATGTTGTTTATCAACATTTGAATAAGAATAAGTACAAAAACTATGCATAATGATAGTCTAAAATCTGAAATAAAATGTTGCTTATCTCATCCAAAAGGTGTATTTAAAGGGCATACTAACCTTACTGCCATTCAATGTCATGAAATAGAAATGCTTGTGACCCTTTCGAGCATATTCTTTGTGTCAAGCCTCATAAGCAGGCATATCAAGCACCTACAAAAATATGTAAAAAATGAAATTATATTTACACTCAAAATTTAAATTATAAATAACCTGTTGATTTGAAGACAAATCTCAACAGGGACATGTTCCCTTTACACATTCTATATTCAGCATCCTAATAAGACATTCATCCCGACATCCCATGCGCCCATCTAATGAAGGATTACACCGGCAAACCATGATTTAATAGTCATTTCCAGAACACACATTTTAGCAAACATACTACATGTTATATCTAATAAATAAATAAACAAATAACCTCATCAATAGTCTGATTTTTACGATTGCGATGTAGAAACATGTTTGTCTTTATAAGCTTACAAGAGAGTTATTGAGGATCTGCAACAAAAGATTTTCAAGTCAACAGGTACCTATTAGCTGCTTTTGTCCTGATTGACTGGAATTCGACTATATATTAGAAGCATCTTCCTCACCAGTTGCTTCAGATAACTCCAACTCCTTGTTATATCAGCATTCGACTTTTCTTGTGGAACCGAACAATCCCCAAAGCTTTTATCCATGTTGTCCTTACAAATCCTTCACATTATAAAATTTGAAGTATTTAGACACATCCCAATACATATTGTTATATCAAAGGTTGAAAAAAGATAAAATCATACCATCATGACAAAACATGTTGTAATGAGGAATCAATGCGCAAAAGTAACTTTCAAAAAAGAAGCAACCTTTGTTATTCAAAAAAGAAGATGAAGGGTAAAATGGTCATTTAGTCCTGTTTGCAGAAGATGAAGGGTAAAATGGTCATTTAGTCATAACATTCAAAAAAGAAGCAAGCTTTGTTATTCAGATGTTGTAGAAGATGAAGGGTAAAATGGAGAATTGTAGTCAATGTATGTTTACTTCTTTAACTTCTAGACGAAGGGAAAATGGCCATTTAATGTTATTCATATGTTCAAAGAAGAAACAAACTTTGTGCATACCACTTTTAAGTGCTCCATACATCATTAAGTTATGTCTGAGTGTTTTTTTTATGTATTCTTTCTCATTAAGTTACTTATATAAATGATATGTTACAAATTTTAGTTTTGATCAAATTAGAAGTGAGCGTACCTTATCTTTACTTATTTGAATGTAACGAGTAACAGCTCCAAAAGTGAAGTTATCTACACACACAAAGTTAGGTCCTGCAAAGTCTAGAATGACTCCATCTTCTTTGCCTATACCAATATGACCAACAAAAAGAAGAAGCCATGAAACAACAGGAAGAGGTGTCCATACAATGCAACATGGAAAACAAGATCTTGATGGATCAATTTGCATGTTATGTGTTGGAATCTTGTGATCGATCATCATGTTGTGGTTGTGTTCTGTATCTGATTCCAATTCCATTGCAAGATCTGCACATAGTAATATGTGAATTGATTAGATACGATTTATCCGATTTATCATTTCTGAATCGAGCTTAAATTTATAAAATAAAGAATGCTAATCAGTTAATTCAACAACATTGACAGTCAGTACCATGTGTAAGAACATTGCCCTAATTTTCCATGATCGACGAAGTACGGATTTTCCAATTTATTATTTCTCATTTGAGTTTAAAGCAGCTCTCGGTAATGGCACTTCATTCAATCACTATCTAATCACTATTTGTCATTATAGATGTTTCCATGGATGCATTACCTTTGCCCGCTGCCTCCTTACAAATTTCTTCAATTGATTTTGAAATGATCTTGTTTAACTGAAAAAAATATAAACAAATCTCTCAATTAGATTAAAAATGATCAACTTTAAAATTGTAGAGCACATGGTACTACCTTTCCAACTTTAATGTCGGCTTTCGTCCCTAAATCATCCAACTGCGCACAAGTAATATAAAATAGTATAAACTTGATTGATATTTGATAGATTAATTATTACAAGTGCATGAAAACCCATACTTTGAAATATGTACAGAATCATCCAGACAAAAATAAAATAAAATAAAATAAAATAAAATAAAAAATGAAGAGTTACACTACTATAATTTGATAGACTTTTCAAAGTATATTTGTCCTAATAACGAAAAAGAAAATATAATAATTCGAAAATATAATGCTATAAAATTCCTTGATTAGAAAAAATTTAGGTCGTAATAATATAATAGAAAGAAACGGAAGTAGGATGTTGTAATACAAAAAGATTTGAAAATAAGTTGTTCCTTGCATTTAGTCCGTAATCAACCAAGTTAAGGCAGCACTTACAGATTCCAATGAGCTCCTATGCATAACAGCAAGTATCCGGGCGGATATCATTTCTCCAATTCCCTTAAATTAAAGTTAGAGCATGAAGTATTAGTTGAAGGAGATCATTTGTAATTTAGATAAATCTAACAATGACAACATATGAAAATTACCTTAACCTGCTCCAGGTCGCTCCTGGTTTTGAAATTAGAAACATAATTCAATTTAGCATGACATAAATTGAAATCATTATGAGAAAGCAGGAGCAAAATTAAGATAACTTCAACTTACTTTTCGCCTATTGTGAGTAGTTCCAGATATCTCTAGTAGAACAAGCTCTACAAATTGATTCCAACTTGAAATATAAATTTTTGAAATTTTAAAAACTTAAGAAAAAGACTAAAGCTTTCATGATAAATCTTTCAATACTAAAGTTGTATTTGTTACAAAGAACATGCTTAGATAGAGGACTACTCCTTTCAAATTTCTCTCAGAAAGTAAATCATAAATCTAGAACAAAACCCTTAACCTCCAGCTTATAAACATGAAACATAACAAAAATTTATTTATAAAAGAATCATTCTATCTCTCTCTCAAAATATTCAGCGATCCCTCACCCAACCATAAGAATTAACCTACTCCTTTTAGATTTCTCTCAGAAAGTACTGGCCTCTTTCCTTCAGTTTAGAATATATTGGATATAGGTTTCTAGGGAGCCAGGTTTTGGACCCATCCACCACATACAAACTAACACACACAAAATGGAATGAGAAAATAATCAACAAGACAAAATTTATGTTTAACCGTATATAGAAGACAGACATTCATTTAGGGATAGAAAACAATAAGAAAAATGATTAATGGACTATCGCAAAATCATGTTTGAGTTCCAGTACCTATATACCAGAGAAAGGAACAAATTTATAAGCATTTTTACAATACCCTAATCATCCAGTAACATGCAACACTAGCTTTAGTATGAAAAGGAACAAATACAAATTTAAGGCACCTGTGAAATTTAATCAACAAAATTCATGAAGGCAAGAAAGAGAGACCTGTAGAAGGCATTTAATCTTGCATGCAAAAACTTATTTGTGAAGAGAGAAGACTATCCTACATATTTTGATGAATTATAGAACGTAAGCTCGGGGCTTATAACCTGCACGAAAAAAAATATGTATAAGAACAGACATACTAGCAAATAAGACAGCAGAGAAGTAATGCTTGGATCTAGGCTTTCTAATTAAACATGCTTTGAATCCAAGACTTCTAATGGCTAATTAGGTTAAATAACAACATTGAAATAGATCTAGAATCATACCTTTGGATTCCTTGTTGATCTTGTTGTCTTGGAGCCTCTAGAGTCACAAATATCACTCCTCTAATGGCTTACAAACACCAATAGCAAGCAATATGATTTAGGAGAGAGGAGAGGGGAGGAATTCGGCCAGAGTATCTCTACTTTAGATGGTGTGTCGAATTCCCTCACCCCTAGGGTCTATTTATACTTGTAGACTCCTTAAGGGTTACAACCTAAACCCTAATTGGATAATCTTCTCTTAAGGCTATCCAAATCCATTCCATAGATAAACCTTTGGACGATTTTAGCTATCCTATATCTCATAGAATTCGTCCAAAGCATATCCCAATGGATTTATAGTCTAAAGTTTAACTATCAAACAATTGACAGTTTATACCCTCTTATTTAATTAATCTCTTTAAGTCACCAAATTAATTCCAATTAATTTATGACTTATATTAATCAAATAACCATATATTATTCCTTATAATATTTACTCTCTCTTAACAAATCATCCATCAAGTTGCTATGGTGAAGGCAACCCAAAAGGACCATGCACAACCGGATCAAATACTTGCCTAATATAGTTGCAGCCTTAGACACTATTCCAACAGTCTCCCACTTGGATAAGTCTAGTAACTATACAAGTACAATTCGGTTTGCAATCGTAGCTCTCAAAGACGCTGTCAACTCTGATCTAATCAATCTTGTCCTTTAGATAAGGGATCTTACAGTCCTCTGTTAGATATCATGCTGACAATCCTATGGAATGGTTAGTCAAGCATTTGATTTCTCGATCTCCGATTTATTTGACATAGAACTTAATCAAACACATCAATTCAGTTCTGACCGGGCCCGGCACATAAGTCAAATCAAATCATCGAGTGGCCAAGATATCTTTCTACCCTCTTAGGATAAAATTTACAGATAAACTTCGACTTATATGCATTTACTTATTCATTAACCAACTATACACAACAATGCGTTTTATAACACCAAGTTACTGATGCGTTTTCGCATTATCAATGTACAATCAATTAACAAATAATAAATCATATATCTAGGTTTTAAGACTATATGATATTATCGTCTTGCGATCACCTTTTATATCGTATTCCATAAAGTGATTCCAGCAAGCGCGGGTTTATTCCAATGCTCAAAACCAGTTCATAAGCACTCATGAACGTTGCAGCAACCCTTGCTATGTCTAACACCATTTAGACATTCTACACACCAATTCATGACAATCTTCATTCATATCTACTCCCAACATATGAACGATTGTGGACCATTTGAATAATTCGATTATTCCTAATAAACTCAATTATTCTGGAAGTCAAAACATGCAAAGTGAAACAATAGTTAAACAATTAACATGTGACAGTAACTTTACTCATAAATAAAACTCCTTTATTTAATCATCAAATGTTAATTACATTTATCTATTATACGTTTCTAATACTATCTAATCTATACTAATATCATCCTTCAGCCCAATACTCCTAGCATGCTGCAAGTGCTTAACCCTACTCAGTCCCTTCGTAAGCGGATCTGCTGGGTTATCTTCTGATGATATCCTCTTCACTACGAGTTGTCCTTCTTCTACACGATGTCTAATGAAGTGATATTTTCTGTCGATATGTCGAGATCTACCATGATCCCTCGGTTCCTTGGTCAAGGCAACCGCACCTTCGTTATCACAGAAAATCTCCATGGGCTCCTTTATGGCCGGCACAACTCCAAGATCACCAATGAAGTTCTTTAGCCATATTGCCTCCTTCGACGCTTCGCTCGCTGCGATGTACTCTGATTCGCACGTTGAATCAGCTACGGTTTCCTGCTTGGAACTTTCCATGTCACTGCTCCTCCATTTAGGGTAAAGACCCAGCCCGACTGCGAACGGTAGTTGTCCCTGTCGGTCTGAAAGCTGGCGTCACTATACCCTCGCACCTTCAAGTCATCACTCCCTCCAAGGACTAAGAACCATTCTTTCGTCCTCCGAAGGTACTTAAGGATGTTCTTCACCGCAATCCAATGTGCTTTGCCAGGGTTCCCTTGATATCTGCTAACCATGCTCAAAGCGAAGGCTACATCAGGGCGAGTACAAGTCATAGCGTACATGATTGAGCCAACTGCGGAAGCGTATGGTACTCGGCTCATTTCTGCTATCTCAGCTTCGGTACTCGGACTTTGAGTCTTACTCAACTTGGCATTTCCTTGTATCGGTAATTCTCCCTTCTTTGAGTTTTCCATACTAAAACGTTTTAGTACCTTCTCTAAGTAAGTATTCTGACTAAGTCCAATTAGTCTCTTACTTCTTTCTCTTACTATCCTTATTCCCAAAATGTAAGAAGCCTCTCCGAGGTCCTTCATAGCGAACACTTCCCGAGCCAGGACTTAACTCCTGCAGAGTCGGGATGTCGTTTCCTATGAGTAATATGTCATCGACATATAGAACGAGAAAGCTTACTATACTCCCACTGGCTTTGACATATACACAAGATTCGTCTTCGCTTCGTACAAATCCAAACTCTTTGACTTTCTCATCGAAGCAAAGATTCCATCTGCGAGACGCTTGCTTAAGTCCATAAATGGACTTCTCAAGCTTACACACTCTATTCGGATGCTTCGGATCCACAAACCCCTCTGGCTGAGCCATGTAAACATCCTCAGCCAACTTTCCGTTAAGGAAAGCGGTCTTGACATCCATTTGCCAAATCTCATAATCATGAAATGCGGCAATTGCTAGCATCACTCTAATAGATTTAATCTTCGCAACTGGTGAGAAGGTCTCATCATAGTCAACTCCGGGAGTTTGAGTAAAGCCCTTCGCGACCAATCGCCTTATATGTGTGTACGTTCCCATCCACGTCGGTCTTCTTTTTGAAGATCCATTTGCACCCAACGGTCTTACGTTCGGGCACATAATCAACCAAATTCCAAACTTGGTTATCGTACATGGATTGGATCTCGCTATCCATTGCCTCTTTCCATTTCGCAGACTCCGGGCCTGCCATGGCTTCCTTATAGCTATTAGGTTCATCAAGATTTACTAGTGTACCATCACTAATATACGTGTCCCCTTCGGTAGTAATATGAAAACCATAAAACTGGGGTTGAACTCTAACTCTATCGGAACGTCTGAGAGGTAAGGATTCGTCAATCGGTTCAACCGGAGTTTCCTCCTCGGGTTGAATGCCAGCGGTAGAGGTTCCTTCATCTATCGACTCTTGAATCTCTTCAAGTTCGATTTGCCTCCCACTGTCTCCTTGGCTTATGAGTTCTCGCTCTCGGAAAACTCCTCTCCTCGCAACAAAGACAACATTGTCTTTCGGTCTATAGAAGAGATATCCAAAGGATGTTTGCGGGTAGCCGATGAAAATACATCGCTCACTTCGAGGTTCAAGCTTGTCGTGAGTATCTCGTCTTACGAAAGCCTCGCAACCCCAAACCTTGATATGTGCCAACGAGGGAGCTTTCCCTGTCCACATCTCGTGAGGTGTTTTGGCAACCTTCTTAGTAGGGACTCGGTTAAGGATATGGGCGGCAGTCTCTAAGGCATACCCCCAAAAGAAGATAGGTAGTGAAGCACGACTCATCATAGAGCGAACCATATCCAATAAGGTTCGATTACGCCTTTCTGCCACACCATTCAACTGCGGTGTCCTAGGAGGCGTCAATTGCGAAACTATTCCACACTCCTTGAGATAATCGTGGAATTCAAGACTTAGGTACTCTCCTCCTCGATCGGATCGAAGCATCTTGATTTTCC